TCATGCATACCGCTCACACAATCATTGATGTCCATAAAGGAAAGATAACTATGGAGTTTGATGGAGAAACCATACACTTCAACATCTTTGAAGGAATGAGGTACCCTAGTAACATTTCTCCATTGTATCGGGTTGATGTGATTGAGCCAATAAACAGGATAAGCCCTAATGTATGCACAAACAAGATAATCATGGAAGATGATTGTAATCCTAAGAGGGAACCTCAAAGAAGATTAGATCCTCCAATGATGGAAATGGTCAAGAAGAAGATAATTAAAAGGTTCAAAAGGTGCAAAGAGAAGAAAAAGGCATTTCATGACAAGCATATAACCCAAAAACACTTTATTCCGGGTCAAAAAGTTCTTCTTTATCATTCACGCTTAAAGTTATTCCCGGGAAAATTGCGATCTCGATGGCATGGACCTTTTATTGTTATAAAAGTGTTTGATCCTAGTTTGGTTGAAATCAAGAGTTTGGAAACAAACCAAATCTTCAAAGTGAATGGGCACCATTTGAAACTATTTTATGAAGGCTTTGACACGGTAGAATTCGACAACGTAACAATGGAAATACCGATTTACGAAGGCTGACGGAAGCGGGGCTATGTCTTGGCAAAGACGTTAAATAAATGCATTGTGAATAAATAATCTCCGCTTGAAGTTTTGGGTGTTTCTAAACTTGAAGTTGGCCTAAAAATAAGCATATAGAAGTCTTCCAGTGATTTGGTGAAGTTTGAAAATTCCAAAAATTTGACTTTCGTGCGGGTGCCCACGCAGACTTTGCGCGACCGACCCCAACCGCGCAGGTCCCGAGTTCCAAATTACACCAACATGGGGTGCTCTCTGATTTCTGCACGCGGGAGCCCGCGCAGACGTTGCGCGACCGGCCCCTAGCCGCGCAGGTCCCGAGTTCCAAATTACCCCAACATGGGATGTATTCTGACATGTGTGCGCGGCTGCCCCCCACCCGCGTAAAGTTTGCGAGGGTACCCGTGCAAATATGTCATTTCATAAGAAAATTTTGAGCCATTTCATATGCTTCCTTTGCGCGACCAAGCTTTCATCCATGTGTATTTAGGCGGCCAAGAACTCCATCCAAGCATCATTATGCGATCCATGTGTTGCTTCCATACCATCCTCGCGGGCCTCCTCCATCTTGATCCCGGTATGATCCTTCCTTACTCTCATCCTAAGCATTGAGGACAATGCTTAATTTTAAGCTTGGGGTGAGGTAATCTAATCTTTTATTTTTATTGCATTTAGGTTGTATATAGTTGCATTTAGAGTTAGTCATTTAGGGCATTCATAAAAATTGCATAAAAAATTCAAAAATATTGCATATTTTCTTTCTTTCTTTTCTAATTTTCATATTTTTTTAGATGCATTCTAGTTTAAGTTCATGCATTTTTGTTCTCTCTTGTCTTGTTATCCCTACAGGTACCATAGCGCCGAGTCATAAGTATTGAATCATAGATTGGTCCTGGGTCTTGATATGGAATTACTTGTATTTGATGAATGGGGCACGTTTTGAGCCTCACAGACCACTTTGAGACAGCTTGTGTGGGGGTCAGATGCAGGTAGCTTGATTGGGTCTAGGTGTGGAGGGATGTGGTTGGTCATGCCAATGTGTGCGAGCAAAGACTAGCCCAGTAAGGTATTTTGAAGACATTGAAGACATTCAAGACTCGCATCTTGGTTTTGGAGGGAGTACTCCCGAGTCTCGTCCAAGCCTTGTTTAGTTAGATTCTCACCACCTTTTTAGGATAGGTTATCATTTTTCTAGGGGTCTAGAGTAGATAGTTAGATAGATTTTGTTTATCACACCTTGCATTGAGGTGCTTGATGAACTTTGAAATGGGTCCCCCAATTCACATCTTTTGGGACCAAGTCTTTTCGGTAACAGCCATTTTTGAGTCATTTCCCACCCTTTTTAGTTGATCTTGGCACGTTGTCAATGATCATTAGGTGTTCATATTAGCCTCCATCTATCACTCAATTTTCACTATTGGAGTCTTATGTTACTTGGTGAAAATCCTTAGAACGTCCAAGAAGCAACACAAAGAATGAAGAAATTTGAAAAAGTGAAGAAAATAAGAGCCTATTAAAGATGATTCAAGAAAAGCAACAAAAACAAAGAAAAAAATGAAGAAAAAGAGTAACACAAAAAGAAGAACAAGATTCCAAGTTCAAGAATAATGTTATATATCTAGTTTGCAAAAAAAAAAAAAAAAAAAAAAACCTGGATGTCAAGCAACGAATGTGATTGAAGACCCAATAACAGAAGTTCAAGATTGAAGATTTAGGTTGTTAGGTTTAGATTTAGGTTAAGTATAATTTTTATTATTTTATTTTATTTTTGATTTTTGCTGAGAAAAGGCCCCGGCGATGAGACGGTAGACTGTAAAGGATAGTACAAGGGAGAAGCCTCTAAAACCGGATGTTTGCCCGGAGGCCGTACTATAAAACCCTATTTCGTTATTATACACTTTGGCCTGACAAATGTAGGAATCATAGTGTGTGAAGAGGCGCCTTTCCTTCGTGCACTATGGTCTACATTGGTGATTTAAAGTGCCCCCACTGAGCGCATCTCTGTTTCCTTTGTCTTGCACACCGCAACCGCATCCATCTGTGATCTATTCGCCCATCAAGTGGTTGAGAATGTGGTTGATGGCTCTAAAGCGGGGAACATTTTGAAGATGCGTAGGGTCCATGAAGGACTAATTCTGACCATGTTGACCGATGTTGACCAAGTTCTATGGTATCTTTCTTTTTCCTTTTTAGATAGTTCATCCCGAGCTCATTTTAAGTCTTGTTCTAACTTGAGGACAAGTTAGGTTTAAGCTTGGGGTGATTTGATAGCTTATTTTATTTCCTTATTTTTATTAGTTTATTTTAGATTTTTAGATCTTTTTATCATTATTGCATTGTATTTTATTTATTTTTCTTTAGTATGGATCATACCGGGTGCTTGTTATGTTGCAGAAGATATTTTGTAGGTTTTTCGGTGCTTGTTGCGGTTGTGGGTTGATTGGAGACGGGCTTAGTGGGCTCCCGAGGCATTATTGGGCTTGGCGGAATCAAAGAGGAAGAATTGGGCTTTGAAAGTTATTGGCTTAGATTATTTGGGCTTGTGAAGATGGATCATAAAATTCAAATTTTGGGTTTGGAGCATCCATTTGGTGGCTAAATGATGATTGATGCATTTCAAATTACATGGACAAGGAGGGGGGGGGGGACCAAAGGAATCTTTGGTAGTGGAAGGGTGGAGTGGCTTGGTGGACCAATAGCATTACAGCAACATTTGCGCGGGTGGAATTTCCGTCGCGCGGGTACCCGCGCAACTGCCTAGTTTGGGAATTTTGGTCATTTGGCTTGCCATAACCCTTGGGAATCAGATCTAGAAGCTCATTCACGATTTTCCACCATTGGAGACCTACAAGAGGTGATTTTGGGAGCTAGAGATCATTTCCTTTCATCTTTCCAAATCTTAGGTAGTTTCTTTATGCAATTAGATTATTGTTCTTGTTACTTTGTTGCCATGAGTGGCTAATACTCTTATTTGGTTGACTTTGGCTGAAAACCAATGAATGTTTGTGGGTTTTGAAGGATTTATGTTGATTATCAATTTATTCCATGTTTATGATTCTAGTTTGCAATTCTTATGCTTATTTGATACTTTGATCATGAGCTTAGTATTTGATTGAGCAATAGTTGATTTATTTCATTGATTTTGCATTGGATCATTGAATTTATCTAGAACAAAGGCTTTATGATGGTAGAAATCATCTCTAGCTTATGAATCATATCTCCTTTATGAATGTGTAAGCATTTGACATCCTCTAGGAATTGGGGATTCCTTCATTCTTAAGGCTAATTGATTTCTTGGGATTAATTGCTTCAATTGACCCTTGATCTTAATTAAGAAGGTGTGTTGTGGGCTTCCCCAACCTCCATACTACCTATGAGGAATCTTGGCATATCATGCTTCATGATTGCTAAAACCAATTTGGGATGAAGGATAAGCTTTGTATTAGATCCTAATGATAAACACACAAATGTTCATTGTGTTGAATTGCCTTAGTTAACCAATTATTCCAACCTTTGAGCATCTCATCAACTTGCTTAATTGCAAGGTTTTTAGTTATTCAAGTATTTTAGTTATCAAGTAATCAAACACCCCCCTCCCTTTTATTTTAATTGTAGTTAGTTAGTTTAATTTCACTAGTTCTATTGAATTGCATTGGTGATTGAATACAACCATTTCCCCGAGGATCGATACCCCTTTTTACCATTATATTACGTTTATTTAGCAATCAAAGGGTGTAATTTGCTTGGTGGGCTTGACATCCCCATCAATTTGTTATGTCAAAAACCTAATTTCCAAATTGTACACCTTGGTCTTGAGATTTTTTTTAACGGAATGCAAGGGAATAGGTGGGTGATAATTATCAACCTATTATCTATCTAAAAATGCATATGCTAATTATCTCATCTGTTAACCATTTTAAAAGAAAAATCAGAAACGGGAAGAGGAGGGTGATAATTATCAACCTATTATCTATCTGAAAACGCATATGCTAATTATCTCATCTGTAACCATTTTATAAGAAAAATCAGAAGCACACTTGAAGAGATGAAGATGTTGATAACTATGGCGATTGGCAGTAGAAGAAACATTGAATCTGATAACTCTTGCAATTTGTGAAACACAAGGT